CCTTCCCTCTGAAATTCGTCAGTCTGTTCCATGCTTCTATGTCTGGATCTATTTTGTTCATCAGTTTATTTTGTTCATTAGATTCCATATATGAGTGAGATCATGTGATACTTATCTTTCTCTGACTGGCTTATTTAGTTTAGCATAATACTCTCCAGGCCCATCCATGTTGTTGCAAATGGTAAGAGTTTTTTCACTTTTACAGCCGAGTTGTATTCCATTGTGTAAATGTACCATAGTTTTTGTCCACTCATCTGCTGATGGGCACTTAGGCTGTTTCCAAATCTTAGCTGTCAGAATGGCTACCATCAACAACTCCAAGAAATGACAAAGTGCTGACGAGGGTGTGGAGAAAAAGGAATCCTAGTACATTGCTGGTGGGAATGCAGACTGGTGCAGCCATTATGGGAAAAAGTATGGCGTTTCCTCAAAAAATTAAATATGGAACTACCATTTGACCCAGTGATCCCACTTCTAGGAATATATTCTAAGAAACCCGAAATACCAGATTAAAAATGGTGGCAGAGGAGGAGGAGGCACTTAGGCTGTTTCCAAATCTTAGCTGTCAGAATGGCTACCATCAACAACTCCAAGAAATGACAAAGTGCTGACGAGGGTGTGGAGAAAAAGGAATCCTAGTACATTGCTGGTGGGAATGCAGACTGGTGCAGCCATTATGGGAAAAAGTATGGCGTTTCCTCAAAAAATTAAATATGGAACTACCATTTGACCCAGTGATCCCACTTCTAGGAATATATTCTAAGAAACCCGAAATACCAGATTAAAAATGGTGGCAGAGTAGGAGGATGCTGCACGGACATGCTCCCAGGAGCAAACTGGAATTACAACTGAAATATGGAAAGGCTTCCTGAATAATGAATGGAAAACTCACAGGAGAGAACCTTGATACCCAAGGACCAAAGGTGGAGACTGCATAGAGACTGGTAGGAGGTGCGGAGGCACCAAAGGGCTGGCCAGGCACCCACAGACAGCAACTGAAGTCCCGGAGAGATATCTCAGCTGTGGGGAGGAGGGGTGGTTGGGCCACTGAGAACTCTGGGACCTATTCCCGAAGCTGGGCTCCCCAGCAGAGAGCACCAAAATGAGAAGGGTACCCACATAGCATCTAGCTGTGAAAAGCAGTGGGGTGCTGTCTACCAGGGAGTGGCCGCTGAAAGTTCGGGCACCCTCTTAAAGGGCCAACGCACAAAAACTCCCTGTGGAGCCACCCACCTTGTGCTCTGGCAGAGGGAGGGTGAAGTGGACTGGGGCTGTGAGAGCAAAACCCAGGACTGGGGACTCGGGGGATAGAGTTCAGAAGGCAGACACTGTTATGGGTTGGCTCAACGAGATAGACCACCGACTCAGAATTTAAATTTGAAAGCCTTTTATTAAGCTGGCCAGCTGACCACAGCCCGTACCTTCCCCCTCTGGGAAGCCTCGCGGCATGTGGCAAAGAGCAAGTGTGCATTATGATTTTTATAGCAAAACAGTGTTACCTTAGAAGTTCACAGAAAGTTCATAAGCACAAAGGGGGGGGGGGTAAACAGAGTCACACCTATCTATCTATCTATCTATCTATCTATCTATCTATCATCTATCTATCATCTATCTATCTATATCATCTAGAAAGTCTAGCTCTGTTTTAAGGCCTTCAAAGTGATTGTCAGACCACACAAATTATCCAAGATAATCTTCCTTACTTAAAGTTAATTGGTTAGGGATTTACTAATATCTGAGAAATCCCTTTACAGCACTACCTAGATTAGTGTTTGATTAAATAATTGAGAACTGTAGCTTAGGCAGGTTTACATTTTAAAAATGTCATAGCTGGTTACCTAAACATTTCCCATATTAATTTCACTCACCTTTTACTGGGAAAAATGTAATTGCATACCCCCATTTTGTTGCAAAGTTGACTAAAAATGGTAGTCTGTAGATGGGCAGTTTTGTACCCAGCTAAAACTCCATTACCTTCATTTATTACAAATTGCATTTAAAACCCATTATAAATTCACATCACTTTGTCTAATAAACATGCATCCCTTATTTTTTTTATCTATTTGTCTCTTCAATATAATAATCCAGAATTTCTAGTATTTTCTATCTAATGTTCTCCTCAACTTCTCTTTCTAGTCTTCATTCTTATCACCTTTTCCTTTGCCGCAAAAGGTTTTTTTTTCTTTACCAGAAATATAAATATTTAGTTTTATTTATAAGATTCATAATAAAATCATTCACATCTGAACTCTTCACCTAATTCCACCCCATCCATCTTTCTCTTATTTAGCATTTCTTAAGCATCAGATATATAGTTTGCTCCAATATTTTATTCATTCTCTTAGGTTTCCTCTTAAAAGCTTTTATTAAATTTATTTATGTGAGAAAATGGGATTTTTCTGTTTAACGCTAGCAAGATAGCGTAAATAAAAGAAGATTCTCAAGTTTAAGAATATATTGAAGTTTTGCTACAAAAAAACATTCAATGTTCACAAGAAAAAGTTTTGTCTTGTAGATGCTTCATAGCAAAGCTAATTAAGGATTTAAAGCTTCCCCTTAGAATAATAAACCCCATAATCCATGGTGATAACTTGCCCAGAGAATGGAGAAGTGACCATCAGAACACCAGGATTCATTGGCACCTTTCTCTAAGACAGCGGTTCTCAATCTGTGGGTCATGACCCCTTTGGAGGTCGAAAGACCCTTTCACAGGGCTCGCCTAAGACCATCAGAAAACACATATATAATTACATATTGTTTTTGTGATTAATCACTATGCTTTAATTATGTTCAATTTATAACAATGAAATTGGGGGTCACCACAACATGAGGAACTGTATTAAAGGGTCGTGGCATTAGGAAGGTTGAGAACCACTGCACTAGAGATTGAGAGGTATAGAGGATCTATCTAAATCATAGTCACAAACCCAAGCAGACAACCAAAATGAGGAAACAAAGAAACAACCCCCAAATTAAAGAACTAGCGAATTCTCCAGAAGAAGAGATAAATGAAGCAGAGATAAGAAATTTATCTGAAACAAGTTCAGAGTAATGATGTTAAAAATGCTCAACAGTATGAAAAAAGGTATAGTAACTATGAAAAAAGAACAGTCTGAGATAAAGAACGACATACCACAAATAACACATTGGAAGGAATACACATTGGAAGGAATACACAGCTGAAGATCGAATCAGTGAATTAGAAGACAGAGTTGAAAATATCACTCAATTAGAGAACCAAAAAGAAAAAAACAATTAAAAAACAGGAGGCCAGCTTAAGGGAGCTGTGGGACAACATGAGACATAAAAATAATAGAATAGTAGGTGTGCCTGAGGAGGCAGAAAGGGAGAAAGGAATAGAGGTGTTTGATGAAATAATGGTAGACAACTTCCCTAACCTGGTAAAGGAAAAAATCACACAAGTTCAGGAATCACAGAGAACCCCAATAAGAAGAACCCAAACAAACCCAGACACATCATAATTAAAATGCCAAAAATTAAAGACAAAGAATCTTGAAGGCAGCAAGAGAAAAGAAAGCTGTTACCTACAAAGGAGTTCCCATAAGGCTGCCACCTGATTTCTCATCAGAAACTCTACAGGCCAGAAGGGAATGGCATGAAGTGCTCAAGGTGATGGAAAGCAAGGATCTGAGACCAAGATTACTATATCCAGCAAGGCTGTCATTCAAAATAGATGGTCAAATAAACAGCTTCCCAGACCAAAAAAAAAAGGCTAAAAGAGCACATCACTACCAAGCCAGCATTACAAGAAATGCTAAAGTGATTGCTGTAATGAGAAGAAGAAACAGAGAGAGAAACCTAGCCTTAAAATGACAATAAATAAGTATCTATCAATAATAACCCTAAATGTAAATGGATTAAATGCTCCAATCAAAAGTGTAGGGTAGCTGAGTGGATACAAAAACATGACCCAACTATATGCTGTCTACAAGAGACCCACCTCAAAACAAAAGACACACACACAAGATGAAAGTGAAGGGATGGAAAAAATTTTCCATGCAAATGGAAAAGAAAAAAAAGCTGGAGTAGCAATACTCATATCTGACAAAGTAGACTTTAAAAGCATCATGCTAAGCGAAATAAGCTAGTCAGAGAAAGATAAATATCATATGATCTCACTCATTTGTGGAATATAATGAACAACGTAAAATGAAGAACAAAAATAGAGCCAGAGGGAAAAAAATATATACTAGAATATAATAGAAGTAATCCTGTTATTTGCAGATTTTCCTACTTTTGTGATACTTCTGTGATACCATACTATATTAGTACAGTTTTGGTAATATACTTAAAATCCTACAGTGGGGCCTTGACTTACGAGTGTCCCGACTAATGAGTTTTTTGAGATACCAGCTGTCTCTCGGCCGATTTTTTGCATTGAGTTGATAGAGTAATTTGAGTTAACGAGCTACTTAAGGAGCTCCTTAATGAGCTCGGTCTTGGAATGAATTAAACTCGTAAGTCAAGGCCCCACTGTATGTTAGTACAGTTTTGGTAATATTATACTTAAAATCTTTTTATTCTTGAAATATTAATGTTTATTGCATGTAATATTATATGTAAGATCATTTTTCTTGAATAATTGGTGTTTATTGCATGTAACATTTAAAATCGTTTTTCTTGAGATATTAATTTTTATTGCATATAACATTATTATATTTAAGATTGTTTTTCTTGAAATATTAAGGTTTGTTGAATGTAACATTATTTTATTTAAAATCGTTTTTCCTGAAATAAAAAAAACTGAAAAAAAAGTAAAACTGGAAAATAAAAAGAAACCCAAAACACCAATCTGAAGGGATATATGCACTCCTATGTTCACAGCAGTGCAATCTACAATACACATGTGTGTTTTTTCAATATATTCAGTTCTGTAAATGTATTTTCTTTTCCTCTTGACTTTCTTAATATTTCTTCTCTAGCTTTATTGTAAGAATGCAGTATATAATACAGATAACATACAAAATGTGTGTTCGGCCCCGGTGAGGTTGAAGCGGCCCCGGTGAGGTCGAGACGGCCCCGGTGAGGTTGAAACGGCCCTGGTGGGGTAGGGACGGTCCTGGTGAGGTCGGGGCGGCCCCAGTTAGGTTGAAACAGCCCCGGTGAGGTTGGGACTGCTCCAGTGAGGTTGGGATAGATAATGGGGACCAGTATAGACTGATGAACAGGGGTAGATGCAGAGGGGAATGTCAAGGGGGGGAAAAAAGGAGACATATGTAATACTCTTTGTAATACTTTAAGAAATAAAAATTATATATAAAAAAATGTGTGTTGAGTGTTCTCAGGAGGCTTGTTGTTAAAAGTAGGCTATAAGTAGTTAACGTTTTGGGGAGTCAAAAGTGGATTTTCAATTGCGTGGGGGGGTCAGCACTCTAACCCGTATGTTGTTCAAGGGTCTACTGTATGTACATGTATTTGTATGTATATGTGTGTATACACACATTTATATACACACACACGCATGTGTGCATTATTTGAAAAAGAAGGAAAATAATTTCAGCAAAATAATGTTTGTTTCCCTTGAGCAAATTTTTAGATCTAAAATAGGGAATTTTGGGAATATATTTATTTAAATCAACAATCATCTCATAAGAATTATTTGATCAGTGATACAATACCCTCATAGATAATTTTAAATGGTTTATATTGATGATTATTGACAGAACAATTAAATTCAAGTTTATGTTCTTGACTGTGAACTGTTCTCTTGGTTTCATCTTTAGGTGGTAGAAAGCAGTTCAATATTTTGCTTGAAAATGCATAAAGAAATGGTTTTTAATTTAAAAAGTGTATTAGAACAGTGGAAGAAGAAGTTAAGTTCTGGCTCTCACATTGTATTAGGTATGTGTTTTAATTTCTCCTTATATTTAGAGAAGGCAGAGGTATTAGGAATCATGCCTTCAATTCATTTCTATATCTCATCTCCAAATTTCTCATCATTTCCCAGATTTATTGAGAATTTATTAATCTGAATTCCAAAATGAAAATTAAGATTTTAACGTTGCCCTAGCCAGTGTGGCTCAGTTGGGTGTTATCCTGTGCACTGAAAGGTTTCCGGTTCGGTTTTCTGTTAGGGCACATGCCCTGCTTGCGGGCTTGATCCCCGGTAGGGGGCGTGCAGGAAGCAACTGATGAATGTTTCACTCTCACACCAATGTTTCTTTCTCTCCCTCTCCCTTCCTCTTTTGCTAAAAATCAATAAAAAAGATTTTTAAAACATTTAATATTGAAGTGGATCTAGGTGGCCCCCCCCCCCCCGCCCCAGGACTCTCAGGACATTAGGCAGCAACCTTCCTTAGTCTAGACATTCTCCCGAGAGTTCCAGCTTGAGGATCACTGTCTCATTTATATATACACACGTGCCTGTGATGAAGCATGTCATAAATGATTGTGACATTTAGTATTAGAAATTTAAAGTCAAAATGTATAAAATAAATGTTAAAATAGATATGGGAAGCCTAAATTTTCAACAAAAAGAGGGTTTTTTTCTTAAGCTAAAAGGAGACCACTTTTCTCTGGAATTTAATCACAGGGCTGTGACATGTATTAGAAAAAATGGGAAAGCCCTGTCCCAGTAGCTCAGTTGGTTAGAGTGTTAGCCCGATATGCCAAGGCTGTGGGTTCCATCCCTGGTTAGGGTACATACAAAAAGCATCCAGTGACTGCATAAACAAGCGAAACAGCAAAGCGATGTCTCTCTCTCCCCGCCCCCCTCTTCCTCTCTCAAGTCAATAAATAAAAAGAAAAAGGGCCTGGCTGGTGTGGCTCGGTGGTTGAGCATAGACCTATGAACCAGGAGGTCACGGATTTCCAGTCAGGGCACATGCCTGGGTTGTGGGCTCAATCCCCAGTAGGGGGCGTGCAGGAGGCAGCCAATCAATGATCCTCTCTCATCATCGATGTTTCTTTCTCTCTCTTCCTCTCCCTTCCTCTCAGAAATCAATAAAAATATATATTTTTTTTAGAAGGAAAAGGCTTTTTTGCATCTAAAAAGTAAAATGCAATAAAGAAATGTATTGAAGTACTACAGGCCTGATGCACGAAATTCGTGCAAGGGCCTTGGCCCCTGCTGCCGTGGCAGCCACCTCTGCCTCGGTTCCCAACCACCTCTGCTTCGGCTCCTGCCCGCCGTGGCTTTGTCCAGAAGGAAGGACGTTCAGTCTAATTAGCATATTATGCTTTTATTATTATAGATCATTATAGTTGGTTGCTGGAATTGTTTGGTAGAATGTAGTAAAACCCTAGTCTCATTTGAAATTGTCGGTATCCTTTTCTCTAGCCTTAACTGATGACTGCATACCACTCTTGGCCATTACTGATGCCACGTGTGTGATTCACTTCAGCTTTCCTTCCTCACCAAAAATTTTTGGTGGTCGCCTATATTGCATGTCTGATCATTTTCAGAGTTTAACTGAACAGGTTTGATTATGTTTTATTATCTTTAAATATTTTACTGTGTAACAAAAAATTCAGAATCCACAAAGTTTTGTTGTTCAGACTGGTATGGATGAATCACTTCCTTTATTCACCCCGGTTTTAAGGGTTCTCTTGCAAAACAGGGAGGTAAAAAGGCCAAATCTGTCTTGCTGTTGACGGAGAGAAGTTCATGCCATGCTGTGGGTGTTTTGCGATACTTGGAAAGAGCAGATGCCAAGATTCCATCGGAGCTGTATCAGTTTACTGCAGGCGTTCTAGAAGCCAAGGAGGACAAGAAAGCCGGAAGGCCTCTCTGTCCGTATCTGAAGGCTTTCGGATTTTGCAAGTAAGTCAGGCATCTTTTTTTTATCATTGAGATATACAGTAAAGGGCACAGGTGGTCAGTTTACAGCTCGATGACTTGTGACATGTGTGCACCCATGTAAACCACCACCTGGCTCTGAGAGAGCGCCCAGAGACCCTCTCATGCTCCTTCCCAAGGTGCCCTTCCTCCAGAAGTAACACCCTCCTGATATCCATCAACATTGATCCATTTTGCTTGTTTTTTTACTTCATATTCAACCTAATATCTGTGACATTTATCTGTGTTGTTATGTATCTCAGCCTTTTGCTTATTTGTTTATTTAGTGGTATCTGTGACATTTATCTGTGTTGTTATGTATCTCAGCTTTTTGCTTATTTGTTTATTTAGTGGCTCAGTATTCTATTATATGAATACTAGAGGCCCGGTGCACGAATTCGTGCAAGGGTGGGGTCCCTAGGCCTAGCCGGTGATCGGGGCTGATTGGGGCCATCTCGCCCAGTCCCGATCGGGGCTGACTGGCTGGGGGAAGGGACCGCGGGAGGTTGGCTGTGGGAGCGCACTGACCACCAGGGACAGCTCCTGTGTTAAGCACCTGCCCCCTGGTGGTCAGTGCGCATCATAGATACCAGCCGGTCGGTCGGTCATACTGGTCACTTAGGCTTTTATATACAGTATATAGAAGATAACACAATGTATATATCTATTCTCTTGATGATCCTATGAGTTGTTTCCAGTTTGGGCTATTTTATAGGAAGCTGCTGTGAACATTCTTGTACCTATATTTTTGTGGAAATATGAACCCATTTCTCATGATTATATACTTTGGAGTGGAATTGCTGGATCATGTTAAGCATATGTTAAACTTTTCCAAAGTGCTTGACCATTTTACGGTTTCATCAGTAACGTGTGAGAAGGTTTGAGTTGCTTTATATCCTCACCAACACTTAGAATTCTGGGGTGTAGTGGTAAACCATTGTGATTTTCTTTTGTGTTTTCCTAATAATTAATGATGCTGACCGTCTCTTCATATGCTTGTGGGACATTAGACAATCCTCTTTTTGTGATGTGCCTGTTAAGGTCTTTTGCCCATTTTTAAAAAATGGGTGTTTATCTTTTTCTTACTGGTTTGTAGGATTAATTAATTTATTCTAGATAGAAGTGCTTTGTCAGATATATGCATTGAGAATATCTTCTCCCAGTCTGTGGCTTGTGTTTTCACTCTTTTAATAGTCTTTTGATGAACAGACATTTTAAATACTGACGAAGTATTTTGTGGCTACTGTTTTTCATGTCCTATGTAAGAAATATTTGTCTCTCTCAAGGTCATGAAGATAGTCTCCTATATCCTCTAGAATAGTGGTTCTCAACCTTCCTAATGCCGCGACCCTTTAATACGGTTCCTCATGTTGTGGTGACCCCCAATTTCATTGTTACATATTGAACATAATTAAAGCATAGTGATTAATCACAAAAACAATATGTAATTATATATGTGTTTTCCAATGGTCTTAGGTGACCCCTGTGAAAGGGTCGTTCCACCCCCAAAGGGGTCGTGACCCACAGGTTGAGAACCGCTGCTCTAGAAGCTTTGTAGCTTTAGCTTTCACATTTAGGTGTGTGATCCATATTGAGTTAACTTTTGTGTACAGTGTGAGATTCGAGGCACAGCCTACTTTTTCCAAATGGATAATCACTTGCTGCAGCATAATTTATTTAAATCATCATTGTGTCCTCACTGAGTTGGTGCCTTTAATATAAACCAGATGACAGTATATGTGTTCCCTTTGTGGACTCTTTCGGTTACCTTGGTCTACTTGTCTATCCTTATACCAGTCTATTTTTTTCTCAAGTATTGTAGCATATATTATAGTGAGTCTTGGCATCTGGTATATTAAGTTCCCCAACTTTGCCCTTCCTTCTTCAAGGTTGTTTTGGCTACTGTAAGTCTCTTGCATCTCTATATACATTGTAGAACAGGTTGTCAACTTGTTCAAAAACTCTGCTGGAATTTTGATAGCAACTGCATCGATTCTGTAAATCAGTTTGGAGAATATGGATATCTTAACAGTAATGGGAGCCTCTCCCTAATCCAGACATAATGCCATTACTTGATACATAAATGGATGGCTGGGACTGGGTAGTAGGTGTCTAATAATTTATCTATTGGACTTAATGTAATTTTAAGATAACTTGACATGTATTTTTTAAATCTATGTCACATTAAACAGGTTATTATCAGCAGTTTCCACTATGCCTTTAAATAAAATGTTGACTTTTAAAATTGAAGCTTCAACTATTTCTAAGTTTGGGTTAAGGCCAGCATGTCAAACTCAAAGGCTAACACGGGCCAAATAAAGGAGGCATGCGGCCTGCAGGCTGTGACTTTGACATGCTTGGGTTAAGGAATGGCTCAGAGTCTATCTTGGAAATCCATTTTGTTCATTTATGTATTACACTTAAGAATGTCTAAGGAAATAATGAAGTAACTCGTTAATTCAGCATTAATTAAAATTTAGGGTTCTTTTCACATATTTATGCATTGTTAGTGTCATTTGAAGTATTTAGTGTATTATCTTTTAGTGTTTCAAATAAAAGTTCTCTGATTTAAATTATAGATTCATCTCTGATTTTAAAATCTGGGTACTTTTTTTCAGAGACAAAAGGATTTGTCCTGATCGACACCATATTAATCCAGAAATAGACAATCCAAGAAAATTATCCAACCAGGCTATACCATTGTTTGGATACATTAAAGTAAGTTCTGTTGAAGATTGTTTTGTTGAATGATTAATGGTCATTTTAATGAACATATTTTTTAAGCAGCAGAATCTTAGTAGAATATAATTATGATTTCCAGTGGTCAGTATTAATTTACCACCATTAATCCAACAGTAGGCACCGATCCTTAGAAGGCTCCCAGGTTATTTAGAAAACCAAGGTCAAATTGGGAAAGTGGATAAACCCCTTCAACAATTTCAGAAAGAGCGTTTTTTGCGGGGGAGGGATTATTAAAAATGATGCATTGACCACATGAGTCTTTTCAGAGCATCCATGATTATTGCTTTGAGGAAAATTCTGAGATGCAGATAGAATTGCTGAGTTTTCTTTTGAATCCTTTTTATTACTTATTGAGCTTGATTTCCTTTTCACCTTCCCTTTCCCTTAAAGCAGCGGTTCTCAACCTGTGGGTCGCGACCCCTTTGGCGGTCGAACGACCCTTTCACAGGGGTCGCCTAAGACCATCCTGCATATCAGATATTTACATTACGATTCATAACAGTAGCAACATTACAGTTATAAAGTAGCAATGAAAATAATTTTATGGTTGGGTCACAACACGAGGAACTGTATTTAAAGGGCCAGAAGGTTGAGAACCACTGTCTTAGAGTATATCTGTTGTGTTGTACTCATTTTCGGTGATTGCTGTAACAAACCATAAACTGGGTGACTCACAACAACAGATTTATTGTCCTGGTTGAGTGTCATCCAGGTTTCAGGATCGATCCTCATGTTTCTCTCTCACATGGATGTTTTCTCAACTACTTGAGTAAATACCAAAGAGTGTGATCGTAGCATTGTATAGTTAAGACTTTTTGTTCTGTAAAAAACTGCCGTACTGTTTTCTGAAGGGCCTGTGCCATTTTGCATTCCCACCAGCAGTAAATGAGTTTTACCAGCATTTGATGTTGTCGGTGTTTTGGCTCTTAGCCTTTCTAATAGCATATTTTTTCCATTGAATTTTAGAGAGTGGAAGAGAGGGAGGGAGGTGGAGAGAGAAATATTGATGTGAGACACATTGATTGGTATAGCCTCCCACACACGCCCCAACCAGGGCCAGGGATCGAACCTGCAAAACAAGGTTTGTGCCCTTGACTGGGAATCGAACCCGAGACCCTTCAGTGCGTGGGCTGACCATCTGTCTACTGAGCCATACTGGTCAGGGTTGTCAGGGTGGTAGTGGTATCTTGTTTTAATTCGTATTTCTCTGATGACATATAATCTTGTTTTGTTTTGTCTTTTTTTAATCCTCACCCGAGGATATTTTTCCATTGATTTTTAAAGAGTGGAGGGGGAGAGACAGAGAGATACATCAGTGTGAGAAAGACACATTGATTGGTTGCATCTGGAGCCAGGGATCGAGCCTGCAACTGAAGTACATGCCTTTGACTGCTATTGAACCTGTGACCCTTCAGTCTGCAGGCTGACGCTTTATCCACTGAGCCAAACCGGCAGGGCCCTGATGACATGATTTTGAACATCTTTTGATATGCTTATTTGTCGTTTGTATGTTTTTTTTGGTGGGTGGTGGGATATTAGTTCAGGTGTTTTGCCCCATTTTTTTGTTGTTAATCCTCACTCCAGGATATTTTTTCCATTGATTTTTAGGGAGAGTGGAAGGGAAGAGAGAGAGAGACATCGATGTGACACATCGATTGGTTGCCTCCTGCACATGCCCTGGGGCTGGGAATCAAGGCTACGAGCCTTCAGTGCACAGACCAGTGCTCTAACTATTGAGCAACACTGGCTGGGCTGCCCATTTTTTAATCTGGTTGTATGTTGTTTTAAATCTTTATTGTTGAGAATATTACAGATGTTTCCCTTTTTCCTCTCATTGCCCCCCACTACCCTGTTCCCGCCCCACCCAAGGCCTTCACCACTCTACTGTCTGTGTCTATAGGTAATGCATATGTGCATATAAGATCTTTAGTTAATCTCTCCCTGCTCCCCAACCCCCTTCCCTCTGAGATTCGTGAATCTGTTCCATGGCTCTTATTCTATTTTATTCATCAGTTTATTTTGCTCATTAGGTTTCTTGTTTGTTTGATTTTTAAATTTAGTTATTGATAGATATGTATTTATTGCCATTTTATTATTCATCTTTTTTCTCTTCCTCCCCTTCTTTCTCTTCCACCTCCTCCTCCCTCCCCCTTCTTCCCTTCCCCTCCTCCTCCTGCTCCTTCTCTCCCCTCTCCCCCCCTCTCCCTGTAGCCCCCTCCCCCTCAACATTTCATGTAATAGTGTTTTGGAGGTGATGAACTCCTTTAGCTTTTTCTTGTCTGTGAAGCTCTTCATCTGATCTTTCATTCTAAATGATAGCTTTGCTGGGTCGAGTAATCTTGGTTGTAGGTCCTTGCTGTTCATCACTTTGAATATTTCTTGCCACTCCCTTCTGGCCTGCAAAGAATCTGTTGAGAAATCAGCTGACAGTCGGATGGGCACTCCCTTGTAGGTAACTGGCTGCTTTTCTCTTGATGCTTTTAAGATTCTCTTTTTGTCTTTAACCCTTGGCATTTTAATTATGATATGTCTTGGTGTGGGCCTCTTTGGGTTCCTCTATTTGGGATTCTCTGTGCTTCCTGGACTTGTAAGTCTATTTCGTTCACCAGGTAGGGAAGTTTTCTGTCATTATTTCTTCAAATAGTTTT